GTCAATTGCCATCCATTTAATTAAAGGTCAAAGTTGATAAACTGATTTTTTTTTCATTATTATTCAAAATACCTACCAACTTGAAAGGACCATATGGATTTTAAATTTTAATTTCATAATCAACTTTTTTTTTTTTTAAATAAGTATGAAATTTAATAAATAAAGAATATATATTATTGAATATGAAATAGTCTTAAAAAAAATTAATGATTTATGAAAATAAAATATTCGAATTTTATCCACATTAATATAATTATTATTCACTCTTATAACATTTATCTCTTGGCATTTTAAAAGTGTCCAAAAAGCATGTAAAGGGTGAAAGTGTCACATAGAGACCAAAATGAACTGTGAATGTTTCTAGATGAGCCCAACACAAATAACTCATTTTCGTATGAAGCCAAAATCCAACTCAAAACGTGTTTGATGGGTCTACCTTGTTTTAATCAAATCATAAAACTAGATTATACATTTTAAAATTATATTTTTAAAAAAAATTAAAATTAATTTAAAAGAAAATTATTTTAATCCTAGGGAGAGTACCTCACCGGATATATTTTATTCAATTAACTAATAAATATCCTAACTAATTTGGTTGACTAAGATGATACCTTCTTATAAAATTAAAGTTTATATTAAACGCTAAAACATTTTTTTTTTTTTTTTGTTCATTTCTTCTCAACAGTTTAACCAAAACAACCAACCACATCGACCATCACTTCATATATAAATTAGGGTTAAAGTAATACTCACTTTGTTATTAAAGATAGTGAGCATTTAAGATATATACTGGTAAGTGAAATTAATAATATAAAGTTGTAAAAAGATGCGAATGAATTGGTGAATTAAATAGGAAGAAGGATGAAAGAATAATATGAAAAATATAGAGTGGGGGTAGGCTACAAAAGAAGTTTGAAAAGCATATATTATATAATGAAGATGATGGGAGTGATATGGGGCCCACAGGGGCAGCCGATGGAATTTTCTCGGCTGGCAACCGACCACGCCAGTTTCTCACTCCTAATTCCTCACCATCGCTTCCAAAAATATCTTTTTCTTCTATATACAAATCTACGCACGTGTATGACTTCCCCTCTTCAGTATAAAAATTAATTACTCAAATCTATAGTTACTATGGATCACAAATATTAGACGCATATATTCCCAAACATAATTATATATATATATTTCTAATCTAATAAATAACACTTTTTTAATTTTTTTCCGTAATTTAACGAATAAAATATTAAACTTAAACTTAATTAATCACCCAACTAACAATATTTAGTGGGATTAAAAGTTGGAATATAATAGAAAAATGTTTGAATAATGTGATTTAGTTTGATAAATATTTGGAATTAAAAATAAATAAATAAAATTGATGTCGGGGACAAGAAAGCCCACCTTACTAAGCAAAAGGTTGAATATGGAAAATTGAAAAGGGACACGTGTCGACTTGTGGTAGGGATTAGTATAAAACGTGGCTCATTATGAGTCACTAAGTATTTTTATTAAATTCTCCAACTTTAGTTTTAGTCTACCAATTCATATCTTAAAACAATCTTTTCCAAACTTTATATATTTTTTTAAAAGAAAACTTTCCTGAAAAATTCAAATAATAATTAAATTTAACAAAAAAAAAAAAAAAAAAATCATTTCAAAATTTCTCAAGTTAACGGCAACTGGCCAGGATCATTTGAGGCAAAATTTCTGTCATTAACGGTCTATTTTGTTTTATTTTGAATATTTGTTAATTCAGAATTTCCTTTTTATTCAAATTAATGATCTCCATAATTAAATGGTTACCAATTTTTAAAATAACATGAGAGGCTAAATTGTTATAAATCTTTTCAAAATAATAATAATGGTTAAAAATCTAAATTTTTGGTTAAATTAGATAAAATATAGAATTTTAAATAGGTTTTAATTATGTACTTAGATTTTGAAATATTTTATTTTTTAAAAAAGAAAACGAAAAATAAAAAGAATAAAGAAAAAGGTAGAGAGAGAAATGAGGAGCCTACCACCTAGTGAACAAGAGTCATCCTTTTCATGGAGGATCGAAGTTCCGTCCGATTATGAGTCTTGAGACTCTATAAATATCTGCTTCCTCTCCCGGCTATCATCCTCCAATAAATTCGAAAAGAAATCAACCATCGGCAACGCAAGAAGGAATCAATTAAGGATGCTCTTCTTCAAATCTTCTTCCGGAGCAGTACACCAGGAATCTCAGCCGCAGGAGGAAGTCAAGAGATGTGGCGGAGGCGGAGACGGCGGCGCGTGTATCTCACTGACCGTGTGGAGGAAGTCACTGCTACTCACCTGCAACGGATTCACAGTCATCGATCGTAGCGGAAACATCGTATATCGAGTCGACAATTACATTGGACGCCCGGAGGAAGTGACTCTAATGGACGGTCTCGGCAAATCCGTCCTCACAATGTGCCGCTCCAAGGTCAGTCAAATTTTACTCTCACGCATACGTTTGATTCTTCGTCTTTCCGATGAAATTGAACTTAATGTTTATGAATCGCTCTGATTTTTGCTGTGATTCCGGCTGGATTGTTTTCTAATTTGTGTTTGTTTTGGTTAAACAGAAACTCGGAATAGCAGAGAACTGGTGCGTGTACGAAGGGGAAGTAGGACGCGAAATTAGGGCTAGAAAGAATCCGATATGTCGAGTGAGGAAGAACATGAACATACTACATGTCGCTCCGAATTCGAAAGTGCTCGCGTACGTATACGATTACAGAATCTCAGACAAAAAGTATGCCTACAGTATAGAAGGTTCGTACGGGCAGAGATCGTGCAAGGTTTTGGACGCGTCGAGGAGAGTGGTGGCGGAGGTGAGGAGGAAGGAGCCGATTAAAGGCGGCGTATGTTTTGGGGCGGAGGTTTTTCTTCTGCTGGTTCTTCCTGGTTTTGATTCGGGATTGGCTATGGCTCTGGTTTTACTTTTGGATCAGATGTTCTCTTAGAATTTGATTCTTCTTCGTCGTGATCATCTTTTTCTGTGGCTGTACATATTTTGCAGAAGCTGCGTTTTCATTTTGAAAGGGATTTGTTTCCTTTTTGAGTAAGGAGGGTACAATATTGCTTTGTTGTAGGAATAATTGAATTTCCTTTCGCCTATTTCATTTTCAATCCCAAATTTGGACTCTTATGATCATCCTTTTAAACAAGTAATTGAGATGTTAACACGCTAGATTTCTAAACACCACCATTAAATTTTTTTTTAGCAATTCCAACATAAAAAAAAAATTATACAATCAAATGGTGGTAGGTAATCATACGGTTGTGTAGGTATATAATATTTTAGGAAATCTAAGAATAGGATGAAAACTATGGATTTGAATTTAAGATAATCTCGATTGCTTATGATTTAGGTATATGATAATGATCTTAGAACCCTAAGAAGAACTATGAGAATTAATAATCGAGATAGGGCTAAGGAAAGGGAATATAACGACTTTCGCACCATGACTCTAACTAAGTTAATTAGGAGATAGCCTATGAAACTACATGATTTAGGAATGAGGTTATTAAGTACGAAGATATCGGACAAAATTAATAACAAACCAAGCTACTTATTGAGTTTTATACTCATCCGTGCTAGTTTAATCTCTTTAGATGAAGTTTAGATAGAGTGGTCAAGGCAAGGGCGCGCACGAGCTAGATTATCTTGGCTTCTTAGATGTTATGACTTTATGAACTCAGTTGTTTTTGTATTTCCTGCAGTTATTTGTCATTTTGTGAACGGTATATGTAGTATTTTAAATGCTTCAATATATAGTTGATTTAAATGTAACGTACTATTTAAATTGACACTTATTAAATGCGTGCACGTTTTAAAAAGTTTTAAATTTGTCAGTTATCGACAACATATGGCTTGAGTCTTTAGAAAAATAAGTCATTACAATATGACAATTAATTTAAGTAGAAAATGAAATCTCGAAGTCTTTTATCGATAGTTGTATAAGAAGATAGCTACAAACCTACTCGATGGAGGAGGAGGGAAAAAAAAAAGTTAAAATTTGAATCCAATCTCCTTATTTTGTAATTTTATATTTTTGTCCATACATTTCTTTCAAACCTAAAATAAATGTATTAGCATAGATCATTCAAATTATTTAGCCTAACTTATCATCACATCGAAATGGAAGCTACATTAGGATAGGCTACTACTTGATCATGCATGGGTAGAAAGGTCAAAACACACAGGAGACAGCACTATGTTAATTAATGTAATAATAAATAAATTAGATTACATACATATACCCATCAAATATATATGCCAAATTATAGTTATTGAACTTTTAAGGTAACTTTCAATTTTATATTTAATAAATTCTACAATTTTAAAATTTCTGAATTTTAATTGATCTTAAAATTTTATGTTATTAATTTTTTATTATAATATTTTAAATATTTTATTACTTATCCGTTTTATCATCCATGTAAGTAACAACTTTATTAGAATAGAAAAATAAAGTCGTTACAACTTTAAAATATCATTCATGTAAATATCTAATAAATGTGTACAAATTTAAAATTTCTAATTATGTATACCAAAACCTTAAAATTTTAATGTAATTAAGTAGATTAATAAATATTAAAAAAAATTGAAAGTTTAGAAACTAAGGAAGGGAATAAAAAAAGATTTAAAGGTATTGAAAAGTGCCGTTTTACATGCGCCTACAAAGTGGGAAGGACAGTAGAGGGGAGGGAATTCATTCACAACATTAAGGCTCCTCGTCTTCCATGAATTTGATAGAGCAAGAGGACAAACTAGGAGATAACAATCAAAATGACAGCGACAACTACAAGAATAGCAGTGTGGACGTGTCTATGTTCCTGCCAGCCCTGCTTTATACTTTGTCCTCCGCCCTAACAAACCGAAACAACTCGAACTTTCTTGGTCTATTGCAGAGATGTGACAAGACAATCAAAAAAAGAAGAAAAAACTGGTGAAGAGCACATCTAGGGGCACAAGGGAACAGTAATAAGAACTAAAATTTCTATTGACTCGTCAAATACTTTTGCACACAGTGGCAAGGAATTTGCTACTGCGTTCTGGAATGAAGGTGATGTTACAACAATTAGAAAGCGTGTCACTATTCAGGACGGACCATTACAATAATCATATCAATCAGCCACTTACAACAATATTATGTACACAAACAACCTACCAGTTTAGCCACTCCTAGCCCAGAGGAGTGGTTCTAATTTAATAGCAGCGTTTTGTTGGAAAGGGATATATAAATAATGTAGAGTTTCTTGATCAATCTAATCTGTTCCTCCTCTTTTCCAATCCATGAGCATTAACTTTCGCGTCTTTTGTTGTCCCTCGCTAGCCTTGGACAAATGAGTTGCTGGAGGAGGCATCATTGATGATTGTTTTACTACGCCTGAGGTTGAATGTTTAGCTTCCGAAACCGAATCTCTAACGAACTTACTTGGGGACGATCTACTCGATTTGGTCGCAGCCCAATTCAATGGTCCCTTTCTATTATTTGTCTGAGTAATGTCTCTCCTGCTCTCTACTGTTCCTGGCTTTGGCTTCTTCGAGGGATGCAATTGGCCCTCGTTTTTAAATGAATTGTTGGACCATAATCCGTATGTGGTTGGTGCGGCATATAATTCTTCGGTTTCCTCTGATTTCAACTTTCGAGCCTTCATGGACTTTTGTGAAGGCTTTTTTGGCCACTTTACTATACCGTCTATGTTTTGCCTCAATGCAGCACGAGTTGCAATATCGTAGAGAGTTTGAGCAGCAGCCATTACTCTTGGACAGTGCGGCTCTGTAGAGAAGCAATATCAATAGCCGAAGACAAAAAATTCAACTAGGCTTTAGTTGCATGCAAATGACACAACAAAATTCATAAAGTTTCAAGCTGCAGCGAGATAGCATTTGTAAAAAAGATTAGGAAAGTGGCTAATGTTTGAGAGACGTATATTATATCTACAGTTCTCTACGGCTAAGAAGAACGGGACGTGGATATGACATCACAGAAACACATCATTATTTAAAAAAACTATGACATAGACACAGCAAGGATACGTTTATATAAAGAAATCCAAAGTCAATAAGTTAAGACATTTATAAGATTAAATAAATGAGTTCGATGTATCTCACTCTCAAATTTAATGATTATTGTCTTATACGTGTATTTAGTATACTTAAGAAGTGTACGTTAGGTGTCTAAAGAAATCCAAAGTCAATAAGTTAAGGCATTTATATGATTAAATAAATGAGTTTGATATGTCTTACTCTCAAACATAATGATTTTTGTCCTATGTGTCTATTTAGTATACTTAATAAGTGTTCGATATGTGTCGGACAAATATAGAACTCATATTGATTTTGTACCAAAGTCTAACACATAACTATTGTGCTAAAAAGTATCTGATACATATCCAACAAATGTCAGAAGTGTTGAAGTGTCTAAAACGTGTTAGACATGGACACACTAGCCAAACTAAGGAGTTCGTACTCATAGCTCTAGGGAGATTAAGAATCCAAGTTTTAAACATTTCTGAATTATGCATAACAAATAAATGCAAGGGATTTGATTTAGTTTCCTCTAAAACGCTTAATGTTTTCTAGAGCAGGCTTCTCTGTACTTGCCAAAAATTCTCAGACTAGCAAAGCACTTTCTTCAACTACTGAACTTCTGAAAAAAACTTCTCGTTTATAACTACAGACTCAGATCACTCCTTAAGGACTTCTCTTCCTCATCTCACTTTCCTCTCTCTTACTTTTCTCTCTCAAGACCAATATTTCTCTCCCTCAGCTCTTCAATAAGCATCTTCCTTCAGTGGATTCTTTTTGGTTCCTTCAGAGAAAGGACCCCATTAAGACTCCTTTACGTAGGGTTACTGTTGGTATTTCATAAGAAAAGTCATTTATGTGATATAAGAAATTAAGTGGGTAGTTCTTATGGTGCCATTGAAAAGTCAGTTACGGACACAGTTCAACTTTTTTTATAATTTATTGGATCTTAACTACTAACTTCAAAAAAAAAAAAAAAAAAAAATCAAGAATAAGATTTAGTTGATTCATAGCAGAAAAATAAGGAGGTCATACCATTTGCCTCACGATTCATCTTCCCTCGAGAATCTGTATGTAGACCAAAAGCAGTGGTCACGATTTAAGTAAAATAAACAATAATAGCAGAATGGTTCAAAGGTGAATACTGTATCTCAATTACGCGACATAAATGCCTTCCAATAAATCCTTACCCACAAGCATAGAGGAAGCTTTCGAACAAGTTGCAGAAGACAGGGAATCCCATCCACTTTGATGATGATTAACAGATACAGAGGAGGACTTTCCATCATCAGGACCAACTCTCATTGTTGAAGGAAATAAACTCTGGTTAAAAATCAATGATTCCAAGTTTTTTGTAAAACAATCAGCAGTAGCAGTGGGGATATTGGCAAAGTTTCCGACTCGCCACCACCTACCGGTACATGTGGTTCTATTTGCAGAAAACTTGGATGAATCAGAATTTGCTTTAGAGTGCCCATTAAAAGAATGTGACCACGGAAATGGTTGCAAGATTGCTCGACGAGATTGTTGCTTTGCAGAACGCAAATCTGTTGCATTCTTTGAAGATACAGAGGACTTGCTGGCATCCTGGAGCAAAGATTCCAAATCCTTTGGTAGAGGAAGGCCCAATTTCACAAACATGTCATCTGGTTTGTACAACTTAAAATCAAGTACGTTGGTCAAAGTTTCAGAATTGCTACAAGCATCTTGCACCTTCATGGAAAACCAAGAGAGAACGAAATTAAGGTCTAAATCTGAATGTAATAATGGAAAGAAACTCCGAATTTATGATTGAAGTTTAGGACACTAAAAAATATCCTTTCGATGAAGAATTGAGTATTTTGCCACGGCAATTACCACATAAGAGAATCAGCAAAAATAGATTCAATCAGGTTGTAGACAGATCTCAAATAACTATAACAGAGATGTCAAAATAATTTAAACCAATTGAATAAAAATGTATAGTCAGTCAGCGTACAGATCAAGAAGTTAAAAACAACAAACACTTAGGTACAGTATGTGTTAGAGTGAGTGCATGTGCACATAGGCCAGAGAGATAGCCAAATTCTTACTCACAGACCTTGCTTAATAAAGGTGCATCTGTTGTACTAAGTTCTTTTGCATCGAAGTTCACCCCTTCTTCCATGCTTGAAACAGAACTAACTAGACTTGTGGATGGTTTGCTATTAGAACAACTCTCTGACTCCGCAGTATTTTGTGGATGGACAGGCCATGGGAGCTGAAGAACAGAACAAGCTTTTCTAATTGACTGCAGAAAACATTCATTTACATTTGTGTCTTTTTTACCTTTGGCTTTACTTAAACTAGAATAGTCATAACTGCCATCAAGAAGATCATTCAGCGGGGGATCATCCGTAAGCTTTGTGAAATCATGAACATCTGATTTCAGCCCATATAGTCCTGTAAACATTTCACAAGGCCCATAAATGATTTTATGCAGTGTAAGGCAAAGTAAGGTGCACAAAAGTAAAAACCAATGAGAACGTTTATTATAAATAGATTATAAACAAGTGATTTGTTTCTTTACTTATGTCATAATAGGAAGTAACAACTAATGGAATTGAGCACTGAGCAATTAAACTCTTTGCAAAACTGAAAACAAGATCCAGTAGCGACCTACAGTGATGGAAGGAAAAAAAAAATCAAGGAAGGTAAAGAGAAATTGCTTTCATTATAACACTTGTGAAAACTGGGACGCAGCTCATTTTTGTACATCAAGACATACTCAAGGAATAACTCCTGTTGGAAGTCAAAATAAAATAGCCGACATTTCACTTTCTATCTTTTCGCGAGATGTGCAATGGCTATACCTCTTATTCAAAAGGCTATTCATGTGATAATGTCTTTCCAGGGATATCTTAATTACAAGGACTATCCAATTAATATCTTTACAGAAAAATATTGAAGTAACACACAAATCAAGACATGATAGAATTAGAACGGTCCTGATTTGGTTAGACTTATTAGTTATCCCTCAATTTAGGTTCTGTCACAACAATGATATAAATTTTCTTCACAACAAACTAAGTATATCTACACAATTTAAAACGTCTGCATTATCCAGTGGAGTCTTTCTTCAATACATGTCATAAGGTCCTCAAAATACCATAAGTACCACATAAATGCAAGTTTCTGAGCACATTAACTAATAATTCACAGGACATCATCATACCGAAAAAAATGCACCCTGCGGTAGCTGAGCCATTCCCAGCATTTATAGGGAGTGAATCAAATTTGGTCTTCAATGACACTTTGAGATTTCTCTTATCACCCCGCTTGCTGCTTACGCTGCTTTTCTGTTTCATCAATTGAGGCTTCTCTGTTTTTTTTTTTTTTTTTTTTTTTNGGAGGGGTGTATACATCAGTAACAACTTAAACGTGGAAAGCATAGGAAGTATAGAAACTGCGAAAGGATATCCTAACTCAATCACATATATGCAACAGATATTGCCCATTCTAAGCTTACACAAATTTAAAATATTTTAAAAAAAGTAAAATCACCACTGTAGCACCAGTTTTTCAATACATTAAGTCAAGAAAATATGAATACAATGATTTCTTAACTCTAGAAATAGAAAGTACATAGTAAGATCAATCAATTGATAACATTACCAATGTAACCAAAAAATTTCCCAAATATCCTCCTCGGTCATAAATTTACGATAAATGAAAGAATCATAACATTCGAATAGCGAAGAAGAAAATAACCACATCCTGAATAATTGGGATCAAAGTTCATTGAATTGCCTTTCATGGTCCTCTACACATGGATCTTATAAACAATTCACATGCAATAATTTTAAACAACTGAGGCTACTTTTAATTTTTAGATTCTTTATCCGTTCCTATTGCTTCTAGTTATAGCTAAACATTTGGATTATTTTTTAATCAGATTTCTTGCACAATGATCCTATCTGAAAATATAAAATAGATGTATTGCATGGCGTTATTTGGAAATGATAAGAATAGTCTAAAGTTATAGCAAAAGATGAACATTTATAACATTAAATTGGGAACTGAACATTACCATGAGAGCCGCACTTTTTAAGATATGATCCAAGCTTGTCAGACGTATCTTTTACTTCATCAGCCCCACTTAGTAATAAAGAATCTTCCAATTGAACCAAACGCCTCTTAGAACATAAACTACTGCTACTACTCCTTGAGACCTTTAACGATTTACGTTGCTGTACTCCTGGACTTGAAGTGGACAAGTGACTTCTTTTGTTCCTACTCTCAAAATCTTCAGGTGTATCTTCACCATCCTTAGAAACTGCCCCATCATGAATCTCATCCAAAGAAACAGAACCCAAATCATTGATAGAGCTCGTCCCAACTGGCACACCGACATTTATAGACCATTATTTCATTAAAATATAGAAAATGAAGAAAGAAAAAATGGCAGATAAAGGAGATGATTATGCTAGAGACTTGTAATATATAAATTTTACAAAAAACAACTTGAAGTGGAATCACATACATAGATGATATGTGGCAAAGAATAAAAACGTATAAGACTTAAGAAAGTCCAAATAAACCAAAATATATGGCAATCCTTTCAAAAATGCAGCAGCCAGAACCAACTATCATCGTCATCCATCTATACAAAGTATGTTAAAAAAAGATGCAATTTTTTCTTCAAGATTGTCTAAACCCACCATATAGACCTTATTCCATGTTCAGAATTTCAGTAGACAGATGATATAAACCATCCTATGAAAGAATACTAAAAATAAACACGGTGTTTCTTCTTATGCAAAATGTTTGATGTTTCCGCCACCATATCCTAAGAGCAGAATTTTTTCTTTATCACATTTCCCTTTCAAAATAATAAAATACAAAACCAAATGACTGCCACATTTAAGTAATCTGCGTGCTGGATCCCAAGTCAACCTCACTCAAAATCCACTGGAACACATTTAATAAGAAGAGTCCTTTATTAATAATGAAAAAGCACAAAAAGAAAAAAGGATAAGACATCTTCACAAACGCCTAGGGTTTATATAAAGCACTTCAATTCGCAAAATCCGCGGGAACACATTTATTGAAAAAATGTTATTACAAAGTGGTGACTGTCTTCATGGGGCTACTGAAACGCATTGGTCTTCAACAATAAGTGACTCAAAACTCTCTGTAAGTTTCATCCTACTACATAGAGTCAGTTCATGAACAAGCAATGCATCAAAATCCAAGCACTATATTCATTATCATCTCTTTTTCGAAACAAATATCACTCTCCATAGCCTCCAGTATTGGCCAATTGGAATGCGAGGAGGTTACTAAGCCATCGGATGCAGTTAAAAATACGAAACCAGCAACAAATCAAAAAATTAAACAGCAGTATTACAGCAAAAAAAAAAGGCTGTTTCACCTTTTTGACTACCGTACGAGCTAAAATGCTGAAACGAATAGCTAGGAGGGGCAGAACCACGATCAGCTTCGCACAACTGAACCTCCTCGATTATTATCCCGGTTCTAACAGAGCCGTCAGGTCCCATGAGCTTCGGCGCCGCCACATCCACCGGATAATTCAACTCAAGAGCATCCATCACCGAAGCCCTAACAACAGCGAACTATAAATAGAAGACGATTCACTGCAGCCGCCGAACATGTCAAAGGAACCTAAAACGCCGTCGAAAACAGATACCAATCTGAACTTAGAGAAAACCATTTGGACATCGCACCGGAAAGACTGGGATCGGAGAGTGAGTCAAGAAAAGTGAATTAGGTGGGAGAAAACGAAAGGAGAAAGGAAGAAAAACGGGAGTGTTTAGCATGTTGCGGCTAAGAGTAGGAGAAATCAGAGCTTTTAGGGCACGAATTGGGGAACAAAGGTAAGTATATATAGTTTTCGGGAAAATATGTGTCATATTTGGAAAAGACCGTCGACGGGAGAATATTCCGTTCCGTTCTCCGTCAAGAGTCGTCCGCGAATACCCACTTTGCGTGGAGATGGGGCTTGTTGTCTTTTACGGACCTTGACGTGGCATTATCCATTAAATAATTAAATCCCCATTATAAAATTTAATCGGATAATCTTTGCCTCCAACCAATAATCATCCATCACGTATTGCTACGTCGAGTACAAAAAAATTATAAAAAAAATTCTAAACAAAATTTAAAATATATTGACATGTGGTTTAAAAATATTCAAATTTAGTCCTGATCTGTTTTAAGTGTCCTAAAAGTCTATAAATCTAATACAATAAAATGATTTATTTTTCAGATATTTAAATTTAAAATTGTGAAAAATAGTACGAACAAATGATATGATCCAAATTAGATCTATGAGATTTATTTTGTAATTTAACAATTTTTTTTTTTTTTTAAAACATTGTCTAGTCCTCTTATGTCAACACTAATTTAGATGCTCCCAGGCTTTAGGCAAACTAATGCGAGTGGTCTTTGTGTTGCTCTTTTGTTAGGACCCTAAGTTTCCAATATTATACTTTTACTTCTAAAATTTTGAATTTAATTTCTATTTGGTTTATATGTTTTAAAATATTACCTTTATCAAATGAAAATTAAATTAATAAAAAGTATTAAAAAAATATAAGAAATAATATTTTGAAATTAGAACAAATTGATTAAGCTCGAATGTCACATAAAAAATGTAAGGTTTTGAAATATAAAAAAATAAGCTCCGATTTATTTTAGGTCTAACAGCGAGTCAGAGTTGCAGACGGACACGGCCTATTTTATTGGGCCTCATTGGGTCGGCCCACTAGATCCAATCCAATGTGACCCGAGACACCCGATTTGAGTGGATGGGCCGTTTCTTTAGTATCCAAATTACTGTCGCCCCATGTCAACTACTACGGCAAATACGTATCTCCGGTTCAGACGTCTTCAACCGGCCACCGAGCTCTGCCGTTGTGTCGTCCCACATGACGAGCTTGTTCTGTGGCTCACTCGCTCTGTGTTCTCTTGCGGGCACAATTACAAGGTGATTTTCTTCGTCTCACTGAGTCATGAAGTGCCGGAGCGTAGCGTGCATATGGACCGGAACGCCTCTGTCGCACAGAGTTACCGCCACTGCCGTGTTGAACCACCCTCCGACTCTCTACACCGGCGGATCTGATGGCTCAATTATCTGGTGGAACTTATCCTTAAGCGATTCCAGCTCGGTAATTCGAATAGCTATAGCTAAACTCCGCGATTGATTATAGTGTTTAGCTGATCATCTATATAATGACAATGGAGACTCGTTAGCTAGTCAAGATAGATCAGTTAACAGTTTTGCCGTTCTCACTGTTCATTGCATTTAATTTAATTTCTCTGCTCCGACATTATAATTCAACTTAGATTGGTGAGCTTGAGGTACCAATTCATTTGGTGTAATTCCTTCGCCAACTGTTCTATGTCTGTTTTCTAATTTACTTTCAAATTGATATATTTGCTCCGTGGATGGATAGTAAATCATGTAGCTCGATAATTACTTCTCCTCTTGTTAGGAAATTGAACCAGTTGCAGTATTGTGTGGCCATGCTGCGACAATAGTCGATCTTGGCATTTGTTATCCTCTTATCTCGGGGACGAGTGAGACAGAAATTTCAAGTGATGCCGAGGTGAACTCAACTTCAGAAATTTGTGGTGCATTAGTAAGTGTGTGTTCTGATGGTGTGCTGTGCATTTGGAGCAGGAGAAGTGGACATTGCAGGCACAGAAGAAAACTACCTGCTTGGGTTGGGAGTCCATCCATGGTGCGTACAATTCCGTCAAAACCAAGATATGTTTGCATTGGATGCTGTTTTATTGATAGTGCTCATTCGTCTGATCACCACTCGGTTGATCACGCTGAAAGGAGTGAGGCTTCAACCAATAAAGAATATCGCCATAGAAACCATTCCAAATGCTCTTTCGTTACCTTTGATACGTATACTCTTTCCATTGTTCAAACTGTTGTGCATGGAAATTTGTCTATTGGCTCATTGAGGTATATGGCCATAGTCTCACCATTAACAGGTGAGGGGAATCATTCAGCAGTTTTAGTTGATTCATTTGGTCGGCTGCAGATGGTTTCAACATCTAACTACCAAGATAAAGTCGATGAGGCTAGCTTGCACAATAGTTCGCAAGTGGATATTTCCATTTGGGATGAGGTATTAAGTGAGAGAGGTCTGGTTTTATCGGTTGCAACCAAACGCAATATTATTGCCTTTTTGTTGCCTGATCGTTGTGTGTTTAAGCTTTTAATCAACGGTCTCATGGTTGGAGAGCTTTCTTTTACGGACATTCTTTTTGGTGTTAATGAGGTCACCTCGCAAACTCATGCTGCTGGAGCAATGTTTCTTGAGGGTGGTGATGAATTGAATAACATGGATAGCCAGACATGCCCTGAAACATTTGTTGAGAACTTTGCTGTGTGGAATTCTGGAGGTCATGCAATCGTATATATGATATCATTTGCAAATAACGTATTTGAATACAAACTTCTTTATGAAATTCCTGCATCTTTTAATTCCTCAGATGCGAGACTAGCAATATCTTTCATTCAGCTAAATAAACATGTCATCCGCGTCGAGTCACTCAGCTCTCAAATTGAAGAACCTTATCATTGGACTTCTAGTATTACGATCTGGTCACTACAAGAGAAACATCATGTTCAGGGAAATTCGTACCTGAAATGCAAAATGGTTGGTGAATCTAGTTCATTGGCGGAGTGGATTTCAGATTCCACTTGCTACAGTGAATTCGTAGGGCAATATGGTGTAGGATCTGAGTTGAATTCTCAGCGCTTGTCTGATTCTAGTTCCGGAAGTGTAAATGATTTATATTTAGGTGGTGGTAACAATTTTGTGCAGAAGGGACAAATAATATCTTCTTCTATGGTTATTTCTGACAGTTTATCTACCCCTTATGCAGTTGTTTATGGCTATTTTAGTGGCGATATACAAATTCTAAAGCTTGATTTGTTCCAAGATCTCCCTTCTCATAGTGGAAGTCCACACTGTGAAGTGAATCATCATGTACCACAACTATATCTTTCTGGACACATGGGACCGGTACTTTGTTTGGCAGTTCATCGAATAGTGGGCAAAGGTAACGAGCAAGTTCTTTTATCTGGAAGTATGGATTGCACCATTCGGATATGGGATCTTGAATCTGGGAAACTTATCATGGTAATGCACCACCATGTGGCTCCTGTGAGGCAGATAATTCTTCCTCCTTCTCATACTGACCATCCTTGGAGTAATTGTTTTCTTTCAGTTGGGGAGGATTCTTGTGTTGCACTTGCTTCCTTAGAGACTTTAAAGGTGGAGAGAATGTTTCCTGGACATCGCAACTATCCTGAAAAAGTTGTGTGGGACGGTGTAAGAGGGTATATTGCATGCATGTGCAGTAACCATTCCAGTACATCTGATACTGTGGATATATTGTATATTTGGGATATTAAGACAGGTGCTCGTGAGCGGATTATTCCTGGGGAAGCTTCTCACTCAGTGTTCGATTATTTTTGTAAAGGAGTTGGCAAGTGTTTGTCTGGCTCTGTTCTGAATGGAAATACCTCTGCTTCATCTCTATTCTATACAATAGTCGAAGATGGGAGTATTAATGATTCTGTTTCAAGCTATGGTCAGTCCACTGATACATTAGAGGCAATGGCACATCTGACGAACAAGGTAGAGTCGGGCATGTCCAATGGACATGCTAGAAGACAGAACTCTGCTCAATCATTTCTAAACTCTCTCTATAATTCTGAGAGTGAACAGCATCCTATTAAGTGCTCATGTCCATTCCCTGGGATTGCTACAATAAGCTTTGATCTTACTGCATTAATGTCTTTCAATCAGAAGGCTAAGTCAATGATAAATAGAAATAATATCGAAGATACTGCAGTTCCGAAGGATCAGCAAGCTAGGATGTCAAGTCCCAACGCCAGGGATAATAAAATGGATGATCCTTTGGCCCATGAAATTTCAACTGAATATAGTGAAGAGCTTAACTGGATTAGTTCATATGAAGAATGTTTAATTCGGTTCAGCTTGTCCTTTTTGCATGTATGGGGTGTTGACAGTGATCTAGACAATTTACTAGTAACTGACATGAAGTTGAAAAAACCAGAGAGCTTTATTGTAGCTTCTGGTTTGCAGGGGGATAAAGGTTCATTAACAGTGACATTTCGTGGTTTGAAAGCTGTTCTTGAGGTAGTCTAGATAATCTGTGTTGAATAATGTGGCATTTTCACGTTTCACATATTCCTTCTGACTTTTGAAATTCAATTTCAGCTTTGGAAGTCCTCCGCTGAATTTTGCGCCATTAGGTCACTCATGATTCTGTCCCTTGCTCAACACATGATTAGCTTGTTTCACTCAGGTTCATCTGCCAGCAGGTTAATTAAAATTACTGCACAAGCAATCTAGCAATTGATTTTTTTTTTTCTTTTTTTCTTTTGAGTTAGACATGTACCCCAAATTTAGGATGTAGTAATGCAGTCCTGAACTCGGAAGTTATTTTTAATTGTAAAAGTTACCGGCTCATCATTTTCAGTCGGCTTAACTACCACTTTACCAAGAAAGCACGTGAAATCTTTAATAGGGGTTTTGAACACAGGATCACTAGGTGGTGCAAGGCCTTTATCTTTATTTCAAACTGTTGGGGAATGCTAGACCCCACCAAACACTTTGCATTAGTGTGGACAAATTTTTATTTACTTTGCGATATACTAGCAACTGGAGCGACTCTCTGAGAGGTCAACTCTCATTTCCTAGAGCTGACATTAGGATGAAATAATAACAAACTGAACGCCCTCTATTCACATGATTGCATAAGTATTCCCTTTCCCCATACTAATACTTTGTTTGCTATTAAAGAATGGACTCCAT